TTTACCACAATAAATATAAATGAGGGTGACCAAATAAACAAACAATAAAAAAAGAAGACAAATGACAAATGGGAGTGGAGGTGTGGGTAACATTTACACCTCACATCACAAAAGAGTTTACCTCCCTAATACATAAAGAAGAAAAAGTTGAGGAAAAAAGACCAATAACCTAACCCAATTTAAAAATAAACAACAGATGTGAATGAACAGCTCATAGAAACAGAAACTGCCCCCCATCATATGAAAAGATATTCAACATCACTCATCAGAGAAATGAAAACTAAAACTGTACCGAAATAACTTTTTCACCAGATTGGGGGAAAAAATTAAGAACATACTTTCTTGGGAAAGCTGTAAGAAAAATTACCCTTTTACACTGCTGGTAGGAATACAAATTGTTATATCCACTACTGAAGACAATGAGCAACATCTAGAACAATACGAATGCATGCACCCTTTCATCAAACAACCTCACTTCTAGGAATCTATCCTACAGACACGCTAGCACATGTGGGAAACTTATATGTACAAGTTATTGCAGCATTGTGTCAAATGGTAAAAGGTCAGAAACAACCCAAACATCCATCAACAGGAAACTGGTTAAATAAATTATGGATTTTTTTCCATACAATGGAAAATTACATGCTGTAAAAAACAAGAACCTCTCTATTGGGATGTACAAAGAGCTCGAAGATACAAAGTTAAGAGCATAAAGCAAAAAGCAGAATAGTGTATATAATATGTTTTTGTACTGAAAGGGAAGGAGAAATAAGAATATATATTTATATTGTATAAACAAACACTGCAAAGATATATAAGAAACTAATAAAAACTGTTACCAGTAGGAAGCAAGGGATGGAGTGAGCAGACAATTGCAGTGGAGGCGATAAAAATGGAAACAAAGTATTTTACTGTACTTTTTTCTATTTTAACTTGAGATATGGGAATGGATTTCTTATTAAAATTGTCTTAACTTGATAGGGGTTTCTAATTCAAGGGTATATGTATTAGTCACAACTCAAATAATATGATGTACATTTCATTACATGTATGACTTTTATCTCAAATGAAAAAAGAAAACCCTAAATACTTATCTCTAGGTAACTGCAAGCATGCTGAAGTATTTAGGAGGAAGTGTACTTAATCCATAACGCATACAGAACACAAGACGGACTACTAGTGAACAGAGAAATGGAGAGATATATGACAAAGCGACTACAGTGAAAGGTTCTAGAAGATACCCATAGGGATGCTCAACATAAAATTCTCTCATCTGTATATTCGAAATTTCACAATAAAATATTTTTTAAGTTTTTATTAAAATTTTAAAAATAGAGAACTCATGAATCAATAGACAACTTAGAAAAAAAAATAGGCAAAATACAAACAGGTGTTTAATAGAAGACACCAATGTTCCATAAACACATGAAAAGCTGCTCAACCCTACTTGTAGTCAGGGAACTACAAATTTCAAAACCACCTTGAGATACCATTACTCAGCTGTCAAGACTGGCAAAAATTTTAATCAGCACCAAGTGTTGAAGAGGAGGTGGAAATAACCCAAAACACCAATGTCCATTAACATTAGAATGGGTCACTAAATCGTGAGATAGTCACTCAGTGAAATATACCATGAAGCAGTGAGGGTGAATGAACTAATAATACCCCCACCCACAGAAAAGAATCTCAAAATACATTTTAAGTAAATGATGCAGTAATTTAAAAAGTCAGTATGATTCCAATTATATTAAGTTCAAAAACAGGCTAAACAATTTAGGCATAGAGATATGATAAAACTATAAAGAAAAGCAAGGAAATAATTAACGAAAAAAAAAAAAAAAAACAGGCCAGGCGCGGTGGCTCACGCCTGTAATCCTAGCTCTCTGGGAGGCCGAGGCGGACGGATTGTTTGAGCTCAGGAGTTCGAGACCAGCCTGAGCAAGAGCGAGACCCCGTCTCTACTAAAAATAGAAAGAAATTAATTAAAAAATTAGCCGGGCATGGTGGCGCATGCCTGTAGTCCCAGCTACTCGGGAGGCTGAGGCAGAAGGATCACTTGAGCCCAGGAGTTTGAGGTTGCTGTGAGCTAGGATGACGCCACGGCATTCTAGCCCGGGCAAAAGAGTGAGACTCTGTCTCAAAAAAGAAAAAAAAAACAGAATAGCGCTTATCCCTTGGAGGAGATTGCAATTATAATGAAGAAAAGGTACACAAGTGGTTTCTAAGGTATTTATAATGTTCTATTTCTTAACCTGGATGCTAAGGTACATGAGTGTTCATTATTATTAATATGTTTCTATACACTCTTTTGTGAATATATTTCACAATAAAGTTTCTTAAATATGAAAAATGTCAGCACTATTATTATCCATTTTTAAGGATTAAAGAAGCATTCTTATCATTAATGTAAACATTCAAATGAAATTGTTTAATAGATATCTCAATCTTAACATGATCGAAACCAAAATCCTGATTTCCAGCCACTGTTCCCTCATCCTCCTCCCCCCCAAACACACACATGTTCTTCCTGTTATCTTTCCCCCCTCAGTAAACGGCCTCTACAGCCTTCCGGTTGCTCAGTCCAAACCCTGAAGCCATCCATGCTTCCTCTCTCTCTCTCACTCGAACCCCACACCCAAACCACCGGCAAATCTTATTAGCGCTCTTTCAATCCGTTCACTTCTCACCTACTTCTTCGTACCACCCCAATCCAAGGCACCATCGTGTCTCACGTGGGTAAGTGCAACAGTCTCCTTCCCGGTCTCTGTTTCTGTCCTCTGTCTACTTTATTCTTAACAGGCAGCCAGAATGATCGTTTTAAAATGTAAATTAGGGCAAGTTGTCCTTTGTTCAAAACCCACCTGTAGCTCCCTGCTTCTCTCACAGTGAAAGCTAAGAATCCACACGAGGGCCCACCTAGCACTACCTGTTCCAGCTCCTGCTGCTCCTATCACTCTCTCCCTCACCGTGAACTCCTGACACTGCTCAAACTGGCCAAGCTGGCTGCGGCCCTGGGCCCTCCCTTGGAATCCATGTGCTCACTTCCAAACTTCCTTCAAGTCAAAAGCTCAAATGTCACATTAGAGAGGTTCACTGGAACTACCCTACATGAAATTGAAAAATCCCATCCCACAACCCAGCGCTCCCTCCCTCACCTTGTTTATCATTCTCCATCTTAGCACCATCTAATTGACCATATATTTTATTTATTTACTGTCTTTCTCCACTCACTAGGATGAAAGCGTCACATGGCAAGAATTTTTACCGGTTTTGCTTCCTACTATATCCTCAACATCTGAAAGAAGCCTAAGTAAGGGGCTTAATAATATCTGAATTAAGGAATAACCTTTATAAAACTTTTTTAAACAATAAGCATTTATTATAATAATAAAAAGAATTTCAATTCATAAAATGATAAATTGTATTATCTCCATAAATAGACACAAAAGAATAAATTAAACATCACTAAATAAAATATCAAGCACATGTTAACTTTTCCCTGAATGTAAACCATTTGTTTCCAAAAGGAAGCAAAAAAATAGCAGGAATCTAATTTGCAATAAATTAAAAACTGATTTTTAAAGAAATCAAGAAAAGCAAAATATGTCACACTTTTACAAAGCAAAATTGAAATAAAGCTATTGTTTGAATCCTATACCTCTCCAACTAAATTAATGTACTCTTGCTATAAAGCTAACAGCAAAAGTAGAAAGCATGCCCTAACTCCTAAAAACAAGCATTTATTACTTGCCACACCACCAACAGGGAAACAGGAAAGGCAAACAGTGCAGACTAGAAGGAACACTAGGTTAGCCCCTTCATTCTTATAAAAAAAGAAACTGAGGAACTGAAATAACCTGTGGGAAACTTACGGAAAAAAAAAAAAAAACCAACTCTATATCGAATTTAGCAATAATGGAAAAATACTAGAAGCAAAAAAATAATTTACTTTGCCTATTCAATTGTGATATTGCTATAGCAAAATTCAGCTTTTATAGAACCAGAGACAAAATATATCTCCATGGAAACAATATTCCCAAGCATACATGTGAGACTGAGAAGTACGGTTTTCTATGCAGGTCTTCACATCCTAAATATACATACAGGATTTGGGGTAGGGAGGTACTGAGAAGAGCACAGCTTTGTAATCAAGTCTGGATTTGAATTCTGGCTCTATAAGAATTCACTTTTAGGCAATTTTTGTCCTATCTGAACCCCAGTTTTTTAATCAGCAAAATGGGGATCATTAAAACCTACAAGTTTGTCAAGAATGTAAAAAAGTATAAGTCACCTAATTCAGGCCTGGTACATCCCTGGCTACAGTCTACCTGTAGGCCTTCTGACATTTTAATGACAGTTACATAATGCTCAGTAAGAATCACCATCTTCTGATTGCCTCTGTTAGCTTTATAGCACTAGCCTAAGACTGAGAATTCTACTAACAGCAGAGGGATGGAACTGTTGATGTTGCTATCAATAGGAACTTGTCAATTACCTGACAGCAGCCATTAGGTGCTACTTGTTGGAGGCAAAATAAAAGATTGTAAAATTGACTAGAGTCATGACCCCTGATCAATTATACCTTCTCAAAACTAGAAAAGATCTAGTAGGTGATTCAGCAAGAATCATTTCCACAGTAGATTAGATGACCAGTTTCTGCTTGAAGGATTCTAGTTTAAACCAAACTCTCACTCAAACAAGTAGAAGGTTATTACATTCTCTGACCCTTCTAATTATCAGAAAAGGCTTTTTTTCCCCCTTAAATGGATAGACGATGAAAAAGTGAATGATAATGTATAAATGCCACCCTACACTCACATACCTCTGGAAATAAAAATCTTCACTGTTTTCATTTGGGAGTAAGAAATGATATTCTCTTTAACAATTCCATAATAAAAAAGTTCCAAAAATGCATCTTGAAACGTATATTTACATCTTCATAATAAAACACACCTTAGAAAGTCTGCCTTATACATATATAAAACATAAAGAAAACATACCTGGGATAATATCATTGATATGCAATAGAATTGTATTTTCAACACTTGCAAAACTACAAAGCTGTACTCCATCAAATTTTCCATCCCAGTTGCCAATAGGGTTATCCTAGAAATTAAATAACAGAATAAACTTTAAAACTCCCCCCTAATAAAATGTAAATATGAAAGTCTGTATTTTCCATAAGAGAATCCTCCAAAATGTTTTACACTGAAAAATTTTAACTAGTTTGCCTAAAAGAAAGAAAGAAAATATTAGGAATAATTGTCATAGTAATAAGGCTTTGTTTTTTTGTTCATTTGTTTTTGGAAAAATGAGATCCAAGAATAACCAAGTTACAGTAACCCACAAATGAGCAAGGAATCAAGTGTTCTTCATACTTTACCAGACAATAAATACTAGTCTATGTAATAACACCCATATGAGGTTTAAAGAGACATCATTTTGCATAGGAAGGTTTATTAATAATACATTATTTCACCCAGAAACCTGCCTCTAATTAGCCCTACCTTGCTCTGATCACTCCTTCTTATTCCCCGAGCACTTAGTCAATTTAAACTTCTGTAGGCCTTTCTGTACATAGAAAGTCTGCTTTTTAATTGCTCTTTTCTTATTTTATGGGTATGCAAGAATTTCCTCCAAAGTGGAGATGTTTCTATTTAATTATTTTATATTCCAATGTAGCAACAATTAGTACGGTGCTGTTCATGGAGCTAGATTAATAGATGGGCCAGTCAAGCAACTGCCCTGAGCACCAATGTATTATGGTATGCTAAAATGTCCCGGGAAATAGAAGGAGATGGAGAAAAATGTATTTGTTAGAACTTTCCTCTCAAGGGGCATACTAAAAGTGTTTGGAACGAATGCTTGCACAAAACAACTGGCGGATGGGCAGAGGAGGGAAAGAGGCCACAGGGCAAACCTCTTGGCAGCTTGACCCAGGTAAACAAGATGACCCCTAGACCACCCTCTGAAATGGGTAAGGCCGAAACAGCTTTTGCCACGTTTGGGGCCGAGCCAAATAACCTAAAGCAAAGGGAGACAATCTCCAACAACCAGTGGCTCTACCCAGGCCACAACTTCTCCTCCAAAGAGTGAATTAACATTTAAAGAATATTGGTTAAAAGGGGTGCTTTATGGTTAGCTATCTTGAGGGACCCAAGTTTTACTCTGGCCCAAACTTTTCACATAATATGAGTTCAATGAAGGCTTGTTTAGTAACTAACGAGTATCAGATAGAATTTCCTATTAACAGAGTTTCTAAGCACAGGGTAACAGAAACTTATGCTAGAACATTCATACCCTACCAACCAAGAGGCAAACCTGAATAGGTAAAAATGACAACTAAAAACATCTTCATCGTGAATACAAATGACTATTACTCACATCCTCTCCTAACTCATTCAGTAATTTTGTGTCCTAGTGTTCAATAATTGTGTATGAATTTCCTTCTTTATATCTAACAAATTCTTGTCCATATTTTCAATCTATAATAAAAATGTTCTTAGCCTTTTTCTTCTCATTCCCTTAATGCCACAGGTATAACTCAACTTGCCATATTGGACTGTACCCATTATTACAAGTATAAGGTTACATAAAAAATGAGTGACACAAACCAAAGGACAAATATTGTATGATTCCACTATATGAGGAATATAGAATAGGCAAATTCAGAGAGACAGGAAGTTGAAAGTGTGATTAACAGGGGTTGGGGAGAGTGGGCAGTGATTGTTTGCTAGGTACAGAGTTTCAGTTTGGGATAATGAAAAAGTTCTGGAGATGGATAGTGGTGATGGTACAACATGAATATACTTAATACTACTGAACTGTATATTTAAAAACGGTTAAAATGGTAAATTTTATGTTACATATATTTTACCACAATAAAGGTTTTTTAAATGAGTGATATCCTATGAGAATACCCCAATTGTCTGTTCCTCAAAAGCAATGTGGCTTTTCTTTACACAGGCATTTTCTGTAAATGGTTTTTACACTACTCATTTAAATCACATCAGCAAATACAATTTTGTAAAATATTACAAAAAGAAAAACAGATTAACAAAAAAAACCCTTTCAAAATAAAGAAAAATAAGATATCGCATAATATATTTGGAGGGTTCTTATTTGTTTTGTCTACTGGTCAGCTATAATAAGGCAAATTTAAAGACTGAGAACATTATTCTAGTTTATTCGAACTGGAAAAAGAGTAATTCTATATCTAGACTCCTGTCCTATTTCAATGTTCCTTTACCAATAATAAATTAGAACATGTTCTTTAAAGTACTCCAAATTAGTCCATTTTAAATATTCAAAGTGTTCAATTTGTAACTAAATTGGTCATAAAACTAATACATATATTCATAAAGATATTTAATCCAAAATTTTCTTACCATGTCCACACCAACAAAATATCCTAAGCTTTCTTTTCCTGGCAAAACATCACAGAATATAACTGTTCCAGATTCTATTGTTTCTCCAACCTTCAAAGAAACTCTGGAGTTTATTTCCAAAGGGGGAAGTTCAACCTGCATCGTGTCCACTGGGCCTGCATAATCACTTTCCAATCCAGTGTCATCATCTTCTATGATTTCTAGCTTGTCCAATGCAACAAACACTCCACAGTCTTCATCACACTGAAAAAGCTGTTTCCCTTGATAGACCCCATCAGTGAAACCTTGGCCACGACCTTCTTCCTAGTTTTTAACAGAGAGAGAGAAAAAAAATAGATAGATATAGAAAGATGACCCACGGGAAAGAGGATCCACTCTGGGAATTTCAAGAAAATCACTCTGGAAAAATTCTAAAGGACACATATAACAAGAAATATAATTATCAGTAGTTGCTGTTGATTTAGGATATTTAAAAAATAAGGAAGAAGGTATATCTGATGCTGAAATAAAATTACCTGATAATTTCAAATCATAATTCTATTATGAGAAAGCTGGGCTGGATTCTACATTGTGATTCTCACATTAATTCTGTCATAAAAAGAAAATTTTACTTTAAAAGAACAGTAATGTTAGCTGCATTTATTGAGTACATATATGCCAGCCACTGTGCTAAATCCTCTCTCAATGCACCACAAAAACACTACAAGTTGTGTACTATGAACACCATATTTCACAGAGGAGGAAGCAGATTTAGAGAAGTTAAATAGCTTGATTAAGTAACCTCACAACCCAGCTAGTAAAAGGCTTAACTGGGATTCAAATTCCTAATTGTTTACAATCCCTGCTTGAAAAAATTAAATCAAGAAGCAAAAGAGACATGCAATTCTATTTGCAAGAATGTCAAAATGTAATTGACATTTAAGTTCTTGAGAATGAATATTAAGTTTGGAAATTTATCACAGACTTCTTGGGTTTCTTTCCAGTAGAAATAAATTCCAGATGATTTTCACAGATACTATCCGAGACAACTATAATCAAGTTTAAATTGCTGTAACTTATTTTAAAAAATCTTATATCCCAATTGTCATTACTTACTAGCACACATTAAGAACTGAGAAACCTATAGATGATAATGTCACAGATAATTAACAACTTTTGATGTAACTATTTACAACTGATAAGAGTTTATTTTTAATAAGGCAATGTTAAAATTTCTAAGATATAAAAGTCTGCAATAACCATGCGGTCTACTTGTATGCTCCTGCTACAGCATGTAGTTTTTTAAAAGTTTCAAGCATCATCTTTACATCATCTCGATTCAATATTAAAAAGTAAATCCTAAGGATTATGAACATTGAAAGTTATAGAAGTCTTCTGGGAAAACTTATTTTGTACTTACAGGGGAAAAATACGTATGTGCATACAAACATACACAGACACACACAAACACAGACACAGCCCGCTAAATGGTTTATCAAACTTACCAGCAATTCTACTCCAAAGAATATTCCCGACACCGTCCTCTCTGCTAATAAGGGTCCTCTGAAGCGCACAACTCCGGGAAATTTCTCTTCCCCAGATCTCAGCTGTACTTTCACAGGGCAGCCCACGTCTATCTGGAGGCCTTTACTGAGTCTGTTTCTGTTTTTAAACAGACTGAACCTCTCCTCACAATTGGTAATTGCCAAAAGTAACTCTGTGAATTTTTCATTTATTTCTACAACATCCTTTTCATCAACAAAGAGAACCGCATGAGGTTGCTCTAGAATTTTTAATCCAATCTGATTTTTCTTGCCTTTTGTAGAAGGAATCCTCGAATGCCCCACAGAACGATCTTGGATATACTGTCCTATACTCCCCTTTGGTACTTTAAGGAGCTTTTGCGTTTGTTTGTCTGTAACGCTGCATTCTTGAAGAAGCAAATAAAAAATCCGCTCTTCCCAGTAGGGCGAAGTAACTTTTTCTTGGCTCCATAAGCCTGAACTCATTGTGATATTAACTTCAAAATATTAATTCAAAAAAAAGGGAACTACTGATAAGTTTGTCGTAAAACCGCAAAAGATAAATTCACTGGCAGTTCCCCAAAGCATGTTTTTAGCAATTTGGTGTCCATGCTGTAAAAAGACAGCAAATCAAAATGCCTGGTGAACAAGCAAAAATAAACTTTAGACTTCATTCTACATGACCTAAAATTAAGGTTAAAGACTTTAAAAAATCTCATTTAACCCATAAAAACACACACAATAGAAATAATCCCAAAAATATCTAAAAGGGCTAAAAGACATACAGTATATTACTTTTATCTACTATAACTGTGCATAATTAAGGAAATCATATTGTAAAGTAACTTCAAAGACAGTACAAGAATGTTTCCAAGACACTGAAATTTATAAAATCAGATTCTAGTAAAAATTTTAAAGATTACCCTTATATACATACTCCGACATTTTTAAACTTTGAAAAGTAGCATTCTTAATGCATCCTGTCTAACTTAAATGGCTAAGCTGCTCTATTTGAGCAAAATACACAAAAACCTTATAGTTTATCTAAAAGCTATCGTTTCTAACCACATAGTTTAAGTAAAAAGTGACCCATCATATGATGTTGAACATCTCTTATCAATAAATTTATCATAAAATTACATTCTGAAACTTTAACCATAATTCATCTATATGCTATATTTTGATGGAATTAAAACATCAATGGATGGAACATTCTACCTCTGACTCAATTTCATTTCCTTAATCCTGTACATTTTGTCCTTAGATGCACAAATATTAATCATATTAATCACAGCTATCATTTCATTTCTCACAATCACAAATATAATACGATTAAAGATGTTTTAAAAACCAATTTTGTAACATCAAAACTAGGACTATGTAACAAGGAGATATAATTGCATTATAGTATCGAATAGAAAGTGTTTTTACACCTCAGTTTTAACTATGAGGAAGGAATAGACAAAAGATGACTTATTGTTATGATTTCTTTTTCAGCTTCAAATTTTCATTTAAAATTTTTACAATAATAATAATCTTTCATAATTAAGTAGCTTCATTCTCAACTCTACTTACACGATGGTTAAACACTACACTTTCATTAATTCAAATTGAGACTTTACTTTCTTATTTTAATTAATTATTTTGCTGAAAACAATAGCTCCTATGTCAAATAGTCACAAGAATGTGGCTATTTGGTTTCTAAATACAGTACTTATTTCATCCTTCTTTGAGACAGAGGTATCCATTTCCATGATTCTGGGTAATGGCTGCAACTGATAGCACTATCATATTTGTCTATTTGATTCTTGCGATTAAAATATAAAAACCCCTAAAACTAAAGAACCAAATTTTAAGTTTAATCGTTTAACTTAATCATGAAACAATCTGGCAAATCTATACACAAAGCAACATTCTTTTTAGAAAACATTGTCCATAATGGTAAAGTTTTTTAAATGTCTATCCCTCTACAAGCCAAAATGAGACATGTGGGTTACTCAAGACAGGCCAAGAGTTTGGCACCCCTTCAAACCAACATTATTGAAATATCTGCAACATTTAGTAATGGCAAAGGCAAAGGTAGCATGAGGTAGTTATCTTTTTTTTCCCCTTTTGGTAATGTATTTGTTTTAATTCCACTTGAGGGCACTGTCTACTTCAACAGGAATGGGATCAATTTATATTTGCCACTTACATAAGACACCTGTGGAAACCTCTATCTTGGCCCCACATAAATAAAACCCCTTATAAGGGCTACCCAACCCCTCAATTTGGCTCTATTCCTTTAAAGTACCAACATGAAATGTTATTTTTGACTAAAATACTTTTAAAATGTCAACACTTGCAACAAGGAAATGGCTTTATTTTTTTTCTGGATCACTGAATTACCATTATTAATATAAGTTATTATGTGTGGCTCTCAATACGCAAGGCTTTTTATTGCATTGCGAAAAGACTTTACAGTATGCATCCTGAGCACCTATGTCTGCTTTCCATAGGTCAGCATCTATAGTTTCTCCTTGCAGTCAGCCATTTGCTGTGGTTTCCTGCACTATGCATTTGACTCCTTTTACAGTCTTGTTGCTTTCCAACTTACTGTTTCTAATCAGTTCTGAGAAGCCAGATGGTGAAATATGTTTGGGTGTTTGAAAAAACAAACAAAGCAACAATAACAAATATACAAAATACATTAATTTTGAAAGGGTCTTTAGGAATAAAGTACACATAGGCTTTATTGAATAGATATTAGTTTGGTCACTCCCAAACAGTTGAGATAGTCAAAAGGCAACTTCCAGAAAAGTGAGCTGTTGTTTTGGTTCTTTTAAAAATGTATTTAATTTTTTTTTCGGCCAAAATTTTTGTTAAAAAGGTAAAGCAATTCTATTTTGATAAGAAATTCTTTTTTAAAATTCCTAAAAATGATATCTTCAAATATTAAAACCAGAAACTTACTTGAATCTTAACAGTTATGTATATACTAACAAGTCCTATTCTATTGGTTCTCCAGCTTAACAATTCATGTCACAATTTAAAATAAAAACCATTAGTGCTAGTAAAATATTATCCAGACAAAACTCAATTACTATATGTAATGCATTAGGACATGATATTTTAAATGAATGTGATTACAAAATGGCTTTTTGAAAATCATTTAAGGGAGATAGTCCACAGTAAAAATTGATGTAACTAGTTGGTTTATTAAGAAGTTGAGGGCAACCAACAGTAGATTCCAAGTATCATATTTTAAAGTGAACACAAGGAGCGGCAACTTTTTTTTCTAACTTGCATCAGCACAGTGAGAATGAGCTTAGACTCAGTAACAGGAAGGGTCATGTTAGACAACTACAACAGCCAAAGCAAAAGTTATAAAATATTTAAAAAGCATTATCCAAAATAAAAAGGATGTGGCCTTTTCTCTTTTAGAAAGAATACATTAAGAATAGGTTTGAAATGATCATATTAAAAATTAATTGTTTTCATTGCAACTGATAGAGAAAATTGAGTAAGTTTATGGCTCTAGTCTAGAAATATACTAGATGATAAATTTAATGATCATTAATATTCTCAAAATACCAGTATTACAACAGAAACACGATAACACATATTTCCCCCCACTATAGAAATGACATAATGACAACATTCTTCTTTCACTGGGATATGCGCAATAGTTAACATCTCAAGTACCCTAACCATTAAAAACTGACTCAAGACAATGAGAGGGAAAAATTTAAATCACGTTGTAAATGAGCTCTTTATCAACCAGGAAAATTGGCTTGTTGGTTTGGTATTTTTATGTTCTCAGTACAGTGTTCAACACCGAAAAATACAGACAATTTAAGACAAATCATCCCACGTTCACTCTGCTTCTGCCTTTAACAAAGGCCACAGGAGCCGTAAGACAACACAAGGAAAGGGAAGCATAGCCAAATTCAAAATCACAGCAGGGCAAGTGGGAGGTCAGTGTGAAGGGAGAAATTTTCATTTGTATTTTCTTACTACATTGCAGGTGGAATCACTTTGAGGGTGAATATATCACAAATGACTCATCTAAATACTATCTTCAGGCTGGATAACTGACAGATTATGAATATCATGATAATAAGTACTGAATGAAGATTACCAAAGAGTTAAAGCACAATAATATATTTAACCCTAAAACCATGTGGAATGCAAGCCCTTTCTTTTGAGGACACTAAAGATGAGGGAACAGTTCAGGGACACTGAAGGTGTTTCTTTTGAGGACACTAAAGATCAGGGAACAGTTTGACATAGAGATGAAAATATATCTGGTTATCTGAGCTTATTGATGGTCTGGATTCTGAGGAAAGGGGAATTCAATTGTGTTAAGACAAAGTCATTAAACCAAGATAAGGGTTGGAAGGCACCCTCATCAATTTTCCATGGATGCAATGGGAAGAAGATGATCAAGAAATAAGTTACATGAAAATATTAAAGAGCAGAATTACCACATTCTAAAAGTCAACATATAGTACAAGTGAACATCAGTAGCTACAGAAAATTGACAATGGTTAACTTATCCAGAAGATACAATGTCATTTTGATTCTCAGGTTATCAGGTTATACTGTTCATAAGAATCTCACAAAGATCTAATTCAAGAACTTTTTGCATGTGCTAAGATACCCTGCTTCTTCTAAAAATCACAGGAGGCTATCTAAATCAGGGTAAAAATTACAATACTAAGTTCTGCCCCTAACTATGAACGGCAAAAAGGTAGGAAGGTCAGCACAAACACCAAAGAAAGAAGACACAGGGGCCTTTTTCCAAAAGCTTCTAGATAGCTAGAATGATTACCATTTTAAGAAAGAGTATCTCTCACTAAAAGAAAAAGTTGTTGTATTTCTAAACAGCTAAATAATAAGAATACAGAGATTCCATGACCAGAAAAGAAACTGAGTCACTTCTAATTTTCCTCCTAGATTAACTTGTGACACAAGTACACAGTCCCTAAAACAAGTGGGATTTATAAGGTTAAAAAACGAAGTCTGGCTCCCACATCTACATGTGCAAGCCAGAACAAAGAGTACTGCTGTCACTGGGGTTAAACCTAGCCCCTCCACTTCCAAACCGTGAACTCCCCAAGGCCTTCACCTTTATATCCCCAGTGTCCAAACCAGTGCCTGACATAAGGGGGGCCTTCAACATATGAGAAATGAATGAAGGACTCGGATGATGACAGTGAAAGCCAAAATCCCATTTCCTCACCCTAAGTGATTAAAAGCTTCTTCCAGGTTAAAAAAGAGGGAGAGAGAAAGAGAAAAAAAAGACTCATGAGTTGGGAGTATTTAATGATTTTTGCCTAAAACTTCACTAATTCTCTGGATAAAGGAAGTCACAGTCAATTTTTACACCACTTCATTGTTATACATATAAGAAGAAAGGAAAATTTTACAACTACAAAACCAAGTTGTTTTGAGGTTCATTTGAGACTAGCTTCCTAGCACCTCACCACCATGTATGATGCTTATAAATTCTGCATAACCACCGTAAAAAAAACAAAACAAAACAATAAATTGAAGATAATAGTGTGAAAATCAGAAACAAAATACTAACAGTTTGATGAACAGGATAATTACTTTCACTCTTCTTGTGTTAAAGACTTTCTTAAATCAAACAAAAACCACAGTTTAGGCATGCCAGACTACAGAAATCGTTACTGTTTCATGTTTGTTGTTGTTTTATATAACAAATGCCTCGGCCTTATCAGCTCCTCACAAAAGTTACTACCCAAAGGAAGGCTTCTTTGCAAGAATACCATAAAATTTTGCAGCAGAACATTAGAGGATGTTCTGGGTGTTATCATCATTCAAAGTACATGAACTTCAATAAGAATTTCCAGCAAATCATTTTCTCCTAATACTATTCTAGTTCAAATCCACCCACTACCCAGTGGGAAATGGCAGGCTAAATCCTTAGGGCCATTCAATCTACTTAGGGCGTGAGGGGGTGTGTACAAAGCCAACACTTAATGAACACCCTTTCCAGGCCTGGGTTTTCTCTGGGAGCCAATGATTGCAAAATGAACAATCTTATTAAGATCCCAATTAGCCCGAATTCAAAAGCAAGGTAGGAATGCTCCTTAGCTGAGGTAAGGATGTAACTTTCCAGGGAAAACTGGGGAGAGGAAGGTGGCAGGGACTGGGGGGGAGGGGAGTTGGAAGCCTGCGCAGGCTTGGTGGCTGGAAGATGACAACCACCCTAAAACATGCAAATGCCAAGGGGTGGAATAGAAAAGATGCCAAGTACATGAATAAGCGGGCAGCCGAGCCAGCTGTGCGCCAAACTCAAGAACACTATCTTCCTTCAAGATTTCGTGATTTCCCCACTGATGGTTAATATGAAGGAAAAACAAAAAGAAAGAATACCTGTCTCAACAGGGCGCACCTTTCAACTAAAGAACTCCAGATCGTTGTGTAAAACCATCTTCACCCTGGAAAGAGAGAAACTGAAAGAAAAAGCAGAACACGCCATTAACGAGGCCAGAACCCCGACTGCTGTTCCTGGAAGAGAGCCACAAACACCCCAAAACCGAACGATCCATACACCCCACGGCACAGACCTGAGGTATGACAACCGGGGCTCTCGATGCCAACTGGGGGCGTCGGGAGCCAACCAGTGGCCCGTGCCTCAGTTTCCCCAACTGTAAATGGAGGACCGAAGAGGGAGACTGCGTCCCGCGCTGCTCCCACCCCAAGCCCTCTCTTCTCCGAGATCCCGACGGCGGCGATCTGTCTCCCAGGACTCGGGAGCCCTCCCGGGAAGGCTCAGGGGGGTAGGGAAGCCCGGGGGTGGGGAAGCCCAGGCTGACGTCAGCGGGCTCAGCACACCGCGGGCCTGGCCGGCTCGGGCCGGGACAACTAACGGGCCAGCGCCGAGGGCCCGACGGTCGCCGCGGCGGCTCGAGGCGCCCTGAGGCCGGGGAGGGGCGCTCGAGGGGACCCGGCCGCCCGCAGCTCGCCGCCCGCTCGCTCACTCACCTCAGGCGGCGGGGCGTCGCCCTGCCCTTGCCTCCCTAGTCCCGGTCCTGGGCCGGCCGGTTGCCCCACACCCACCGCCCTAGTATTTACCTCGGACGCGCGGCCCCCGCGCAGCCGAACCTGCTACCTGGGCCCGCCCCCACCTGCCCCGCCTCCGAACAGCCCAGAGGAGAGGGAGGGAGCGGGGGCGGAGGGCAACAACCGTGCTAACCAATAGCATCCCGAGCTGCGTTCCTGGGCGCGCCCTGATTGGGCCTTCCTGTGACAGACCTTCCTCCAATGGCTGCCGGCCCGGAGCCGGCTGAAGGGACTTTCCGCTCTGTCAAGCTCGGTGGAGCCAAAGGGAAAGCAGAGAGGAGGGACGGACAACAACGGGATGGGGGCGGGGAGCTCAAGCTGATTGGGCGAAAGACTGCGGGTACTGCGTCACCATTGGCTGATACTGGCGCCGGGGTGGGGCGATGTGTTTCTCCCAGCTCCACCTCCCATGCCCGGGTCTGGGCTCTTGCCTTAGCTGTCAAAACTGTAGACTCCAAGGTTTGGGTCTGGGTTGGGGAGCAGTCCAGAAGAAAGCTGAGAATAGGATTCCAGGATTCCATGAAAGAGCAAAATTTTAGAATCAGACCTAAGTTTGAATCTTTTGTGCTTTGATTCGCGTGATCTGGGGAAGTCACAACCACCCTGCGCCTCAATTTCCTCATCTGTGAAATGGAGATAATAGTTGTCACTTGTCTGACAGGACTGGAATAGCCTATTAAACTTTCTGACATGCAACAGAAGCTCAATAACGGTTACATCTTTCTCCCCCTCACATTCAGCCTGGTTTCTGAACCTGTTGCCACCTGTCCCAGTTCGGAAGGAGGCCTCCTAAGAGTGGTGAAGAAGGGATTTCCACACGCCGCCTCACTCAGCCCGGCACCGCTGGCCACCAGCCAGGACTTGGGGTGTACTTAAGGATCTTGCAATTAGAAGGGAGGCTTCTGATTCCCAAAAGTGCTCAAAATATTTAAGAAAGTGCTTTTTATAATCAGTCCCAGAGCCTTGCTGCACTGGATACTCCTGTTAATTAATTCCTTCTCCTTTGACATTTTAAGTACTAATTATGGGAGAAAGTGATTAATACTGAGAAAGGAGGAGGTGTGTGTGTGTGTGTGTGTGTGTGTGTGTGTGTGTGTGTTTAATCATGACACAACTTTCCCCAGTGGAAAGTGACATGTTTCTGAAGATCTGGGAATTTAAATCAGTGAATACGTAAAAGCAGCCACATGAGTAGCAGTAGTGATAAACCGGCCACCCCTCTTCCTTGCCATAATCACCCGAAATGAAATGGACATCTTTTGAAAACCTAAGCCACAATCCACTCCTGTCCTTCCTTTAGTCCATTCTTATCCTGTTCCCAGGCTGTATGACCACATTGCAGTAGGAAGCAATCAGATGGGAATCAACAGGCTTGGCTTGCATTGTGGCCTTACGGTACACCATTGCCCTCCAGGTCAAGATTCTCCAATAAAGCTAGCAGGACTCAGAGGTCACAGTCTGGCTCTCTGTGAGAAAATTTCAGCCTGAAAACTGTTTTTGCTTGACCCATACAGTGAGGAGGAGGAAGGAGAAAAGAAAGCAGAGTGGCAGAGAGATTTTTAAGCCTTTTAGACAAGGCAAAGACTCCTACTTTCTCCGTTTTGCCACACTCCCCACCATTCCCTATTTTAAGCCCCTAGACGACTTCTCTCATTTGCATTACATTATCTACTGGCCCCTGAAGGCGTTTGAGTTTGCCACTCCTGGACTGGAACATTTCATGTCCTTTCTGATAATGATGTTTGGTGTTGCTGAGCTCTCTGCTTCAGTAGGGCTTTCTTCTCCACCAACAGTGGTCAGATACCTCCCTCTGTCCTCCTGTCACACGTTCACTGAATCAGACAGTGTCAGGGCCTGATTTCATCTAAGAGATCTTCATCCAAGCCAAGCCTGACAAATGGAATTTATTTCAGTTGCCATCTCCTGTCAATTGGTAATGGCTGCCTCGAACATTGTGTTAAAGATAATTCGGAAGCTGTATTCAGGCTCACAGGGAAGACAGATGTCTGCCCGGGTATGAGATGGGGAAATTGTGTCATGGTGCTATTACTTGCAGTCCTTGATAAACCAGCCTCTCATCTTACAGATGAGAGATTAAGGTCCAGAGAAGGAAAATAATTTGCCCCTTGTCACCCAGGAGATGGGCTGAGATCCTGATTTTCCTGATTCCAAGCCAGGGTTCCTTTCACCTCTGTTTAAATGGATCCTTCAACTGAAATGCCCACCCTCTCTGCCTTCCAAATCCTCCCTCTGTGTAGGGCCCAGCCAAAGTCCAGCCTCATCCAGGGGTCTTTGCTGATGGCTCCAGCCCCCACAGAGTGCCTCTGTCAATCCCCACCCCCACAGTCTGTTCCACCCAGCCTGGCCCTGGGTTCCTGTAACCGGTGGTTGAGTTACTGGGCATGTACCAGGAAATGGCACTATACAAGCAAAATGCCACCCTTGCCTGTGGCAAGAAAGGCCCACGAAAACAACTAATTGCATGATCATTTGCTTAATTATGGCTATGGTAAGTCTCAGGAGGAGACTTGCTCTGTGCACACCTAAAGGGTGGTTGGGCACTCAGGAAAGGCCTGTGTGAGAAAGTCACCTTTAAGGCAAGGTAGGAAGAGAACAGGCAGCGGCAGTGAGGGGAAGCAAGCCCTCTAGACAAAGGGAACAGAAAGTGCATGCCCTGTTGACGGAACTAAAAAAAGCAAAGCACAGAAAGTGTGGGCACAGAAGCACCTTGGCAGCCGGGGCCAGGGCTTGGTCTGCATCCCAAGAGCAATGGGAACCCTTTGAAGGGTTGTACAGGGAAGTTAACTGTATTTCTAAACTGTCCTGTGCAGCTCTCTCATTGCACACAGCAGGAACCCACCAAGCCTCTGAATTGAATGTGGCTCTCTCCGCAGGGGGTGGTAAGCTCCAGATAGCCTGGTGGGGGCCTAGGTCGGGACACAAGGAGACTTCAGCAGCACTGGTCATGGTTAGTGATTGGACCCTGCCCCCTGCTTCCCCACCTACCGCAGGTACTTCCTACTTCCAGCCTCAGCAAGTGTGGTGTTCATTCCGCGTCCTACCGCCTTCTCAGCGTCTCCACCAAGCACAGCCGAAAGTGAAATCCTGATATCCCCACCCCTGCAATCCTTCTGCCTCCCTGTCTCAGGAATGGCAGCTTCCTGTTGTTCATCCAGCCTCCCACGGCTCGGCCACTTTCCCACCAGCCCTGTAAATATGGGTGCTCAGAATGAGCACTGAGCCAAGGGGCTAGGCTAACTGGATCAGGTAGCCCACAGCAATTGTACTGTACAAGCGCTTTGTCCACGGGACAGTGCAGTGTTCTGGTCAACGGATGATGAGTTGAGAGTCCTCCGCGCCCGAGATGTACTTACTTCTCAGAGAAGGGAAACTCCAGGTGCAACGAAGCATTCTGTCTAGGGGCTTTTACTCTAGTCACCCAAAAGCTCTTTTTGATAAGATAAAAGGGATTACTTTAATCATCTTTCCAGTAATCCAGCTGAACTATAAATCCATGCTCTCCTGTTTTGAGCCATTTGCTGGTATCAATGACAAGTGATTTCTATGTTTGATTTTTAAAAACACACACAGAGTAAAAGGGCTTAATGCTCTTTATCGGAAACTCCGCGCTACATCTGGACCCTATTTGGGGCAGCTGATGCACTAGGAATGGTCCCATGTCTCGGGAAACCTTTCTCCCTTAGGAAGGAGACACTAATGGCATCAGGAAAAGGATGATTCAGTCTTACAGTCCACCCAACGTCTATTTTCTGCCCCCTTTAAGTAGAGTGGATTCTTCATCCAAATGAATGTCAAGTGTACTGAGCACCTGCTTTGGGCTAGGTACCTTTCTAGACTCTGAGGACACCACAGTGAGCTTGGTCCCTGTCCTCATGCAGCTGACAAGCCAGGAGAAGGAAGAAACGAACGTGTCTCAGGTAGTGCATGCCAAGAAGACAATATTAATGAGGGTAGGCAGTGGCTGGGGACTGCGGTTTTAGGTAGATTGTTCAGAGAAGGACTCCCTCGAAGAGGTGGCATTTGAACAAAGTGCCAAAGGAAATGAGGAAGCAAACCCCTGCCACTGTCCGGGGCAAGAGTGTTCCTGTAAGAGAGAACAGGCAGGTGCAAAGATCCAAAAGCTGTGATGTGCTTGGCCTGATTAAGGACAGCAAAGTAGCTGGTGAGGCCGGAGCGCAGAGAAGGCGGTGTGAGTGGCAAAGGTGAGGCAGAGAAGACACAGGGCTGGGTCAGGTCAGCATGAGACCTTGACTTTTGCCCTGCACCAGACAGGAAGTCCTGGTGGGTTCAGACCAGAGAAGTGGCTGATCTGACTTATGCTTTAATAGTCTCACGCCCTTCGGTCAAAGGTAAAAACAGGGACACTGGTCGGGGGGCCAATGCAGTAATCCAGGAGGGGGGGGGTCCCAAAGGGGCCCCTTGTTTTCTGGGGATACAGTCAGAGCAGACGAGGAAGGGTAGGGAGGAATGTGGAACTGAAGATGGTGAGAAAGAAGTTATTACAAATGAAAAAGGGATGTAGCGCTCCCAAGAGGAAGGATTTTCAGGATGAGTGATTAGAGGAGGGGTAATGCTTAGAGGACTGGATTTGTGGATTGTTGGGAAAACGACAATAGATTGGGATTAAATTTAGAACAATAAAAAACTATCCTGGGGAGGCCCAAGCCAAAGATCTTGGATTGCCTGCCTGCCCAGCTGTAGCCTCTCCAAGGGAACATCCTTTATGACCTTCCTGTTCACCCGTAACCTACCACCAGGGCCCGGGGCTGTGCATTCTCTCCTGCGGGGGCATGACCAGGGTGTTGTCCTGTGTGTGTGCTTCACCCACTGGGCTGGACCAGTCACCTGAGTGGAGAGGGAGGCATGGAGTTGTCCTGGTACAATAATAGAATGAAGTCTCCACTCAGCCCGCTTGGAATATGATTCCACCTCTCACATTTCTGTGGGGCGTATTCATTTCGGCATCTTGTTTTGGTGCAATGGCTGGGGGAGGACACTC